AATAAATATGTGGATATTATCGTCACGCTAATCCGATACGAGTGTCAATGATTGGTTCCTCCTCGAACGCAACACGTGCACTTTGCATTTTCCCTTCATTCTAATTTTCTTGCATTGTTATTTATTCGTCATGTTAAAAGGAAAATGATTTATATCGATCGTACAATGAATACTAGAAGAGGAGGATGCATTCGGCGCAATTTAGGAACTTGGCTCGAAACGCGATGCGTAAAGGATGACTTGCTCGAACATTATCGCGTATAACAAGAGTGCTTTCCAGCAAGAGACAGTGTGGTACAGTGAATTATTACAACCTTGTTATTTGCCAATGTTAAACAAAGAAAAATGATCACAGTATTACACTGTCTCTCTCTCTCTCTCTCTCTCTCTCTCTCTCTCTCGCTGAAAAACACAAAAAATGTTTACATTATCGCGATTTTGTAGCGATATTCACATGCAATTTTCCATCATGTCGCATTTTTTGTTTTAAATATCGTAGCGCTGTAACTATTATAAGTATGACATCGTAGCAACAATCATATATAATAGTTTGCATTTTGGTTATCATGACTCAATACACTTTGTAGCGTAGATAGAGGAACGATTTTATTATAACGACGTTATTATAAAATTGAGTAGCATATAAATTACGCCCCTATTCCCTTCGGAGGATCAAATTAGTCTCAAAAATTTTTCTTATTGCACCACAAAGCACGTGGTTACAAATATATATAAACGTCTCTACAGATTATCTTATTACCGTTAAATAATGCGCTTGTGCCGTTTCATCTTCGCGAATTCTCTTATCGTACGGTCGCGAGAAAGACTTAACTCTGGAAGAATAGCCTTTTTGCGTGCTGGTGTTGATACCAGGAGTTCGGAAAGGATCAGGTGGGACGTAACAGGTGGGCTCCTTAATCGCAGCTGAGTCATCGATTATGTCGAATAACACGTGATAATTCTCAAACAATTCTCACTGATCTTTATTGTGCACGATCTTTATCGATATTTCATGCCGTACTGCATCAAACCGTACTTACATCGACGAAGTATACATCTTTTATTATATAAAGATCAGCGATTTACACGATAGACGATTAACCGAACGACGCCGCCGTCGTCGTTGCCGCCTGAAATCCGCGACGCAAACGATCCGGGAGAGTGTTATCATTGATCGATAAACCCGCGACTCACGTCGCGACACGTGTCAGTGTGCTTAGCCTCTACTGTGTTTCTCTCCCCTTTCTCCACTACGTAATATAATATACCAGCTAGAAAAGGATCTTAATAATTTATATAGAAAATGTACAAGAAAATCTACATTCAACGAACGCGTGATATTTCTATATGAGTATGGTACGACGCGCGATGATCGAGCAGGCGAAGAATAAATAAATTAAAACAGAAGTCGCGAGAGAGGGAGGGGAAGCCCGGGGACGAGTTTTGTGATCGAGCGATCCGCTGTCATAAAAAAAAAAAAAAAAAAAAATACGACGGGCAATGCAACAGTTGAACTCTTAATTTATTTCTACCTTATACAGAACTTTGAGATAAGAGTTGAAGAAGACATTTATCCACTTCGTTGAATGAATCGTTTAACGAAGACGCTTGCTGTTCGGTTTCTCGTCATGCCTGCTCAGTCGATTTGCGAAACGCATAGCCCTGTACACGTCACTTTCAATTAAACACGACGTGCGTATCCGTCAGTCGGTGCGAATGCCACACGTTCCAATTTTAGATGAGCGCATCTTGCTCCCGCTGGAAGAAGCGTTTAAACCGAGCAAAACGGATGCTCGTTGACGACTTAAATTCGTACGCCTCGGATTCCTAATAGCCGTCCTTAGAACTGAATACGTTAGGGTCGATTTATCTCACGAAGATAAACCGACGTCTTCGTTGTAGGTACAAGATATGCCTCGCGACGTGCTTCTACATGATTGCCCAATTCAAACAAATCAACATATCTAAACCCTTCAAATGTCGTTGATAAATCGAATTTGCAGAGTGGTATTCGCGCTTTTGCATTGATATGTAAACACAAATTGTGGATAATGTTTGCGTGCGGAAGCTTGGTAAAGAGTCAAATAAAACGATAGAGGATTCAAACTGTTTGAAGATCTTTCGTCTTAGCAAACGTTTACTCAGCAATACTAAAACGCGGTCATTATCTTCGTCGATAGAACGCTGTTGAGAGAGATTGATGAAGGTATATAGATCGTGCTAACTTTTTACTGATGAAGTTTTTAAAGAATCTGTAGTTGATCGTTTTTCGAAAGAATATTTAAAAAATTAATAAATTATATATATTACAAATTATGTAAGTATAATCGATAATTATCAATTTCTTGAAAATTAATTGCAAAGAGGGAATAAAAGAAATTTATTTATTTTCAAATTTCAAGTGGACTTTTATAAATTTGTAACTTGAGAATTGGTTGTCCAGATATTTAATATTGTATTAGAAATTTGTAATGAATAATCTTTTTCAATAATGATTCTTTTTGGTAAAGAATTTCGATATTTCTTTTTACTGAAAGGAAAATTTTCAAAACGCGATCAAAGGGAAATGAAGCGTGATTTTATATGGTGTTTTACACCGAATGAACGATCAGAGTCACAGTAACTTTCTAGCAGGGCGATAAAAGCGATAACGCTTCTCAGATTCCGATGTGTGATATATCCATAATGATAATATATATAATGATTAAATATATTTTATATCCGAACGTATCTTCGCTTATCTACTTGCTTCGCGTCCGTTTTCGTTTCTCTTTTTGCCTCTCTCGTGGTTTCATTGGATTCTCGCGCTGTTTCCCTCTCACGCCCACTTTCTCCGAGTGCACCGGCTCTCAAGACACAAGGCGGCCGCGAATAAATCAGATTTGAAATGGCTAGACGTGGTACATGTACGTACGCATTTTGCGCTTGTCTACTCGAGACCAGCCTTTTAGTACCGACGGCAATACGAGCCCTCTAGTGCTGGACGCGGTTGAATCATGCTTCCGTAGCAGGTGTGCCGCGGTTTTCTCAGGAATTAAGTCGAAGCGTACATATTATCACATATATGTACCTTCACCTCGCTATTTCTACTCCGCGGTGACGTTGAAAGATACCGCGATACATAATTTGCGGTCATTGTGCAATTTTATTATAGCACGATTATTCTTTATATTACATTATCCAATATTTCAAGCAGTTTTTGAAAACTGGATTAAATAATTAAATAAAATAATAATAAAATAAAAGTTAGTTATAAATTATAAAAACTATATATGTCTACGATTTGTTTTCGAAGAAGTAAAATTAGAAATAAGCAAAATCGAGACGGTTTTAGAAAAGGATCACATAAATTATAGACATTCTATGTTCCGAGAAATTACAATTTTTTCCCCTATAATCTCACAATTGCGCTGAATTATTAATATGTAAAAAAGTCAAAAGCATGAATTAAACTTTTTTTCAAACGGAAGTTTTCTCGTGTACTCCCTTTTTCAATCTTCACTTCAATTTTTGCTCATAAGCAAAATAAAAAGGGATGAACAAGGTTAAAAACATCGTACATCAGTATGCGATTTTCGAAATTGATTTCACTTTGCCGAATCTATTAAGCTTTAATGATAGTACCTTCTATTGTATAATATAGATGCATTAACGCTCAGTTCGTACATATCACGCTCGCGTCACATCGTGCACAATCTGTACACGTCCATGTTTTGTATATAGTAAATTGATGTTGATGAAAATGAATTACCATCGAACCGTCGGAGAAGCGTTTTGAAAGAGCTCGATTATTTTATATGTTATAGAGATATTAATATCACGTTCTCTCGCAATTCACGTTGAATATTGTTGCACGCAACTTAATTAAAACCATCAATTTCTATTGATCACGACAGTGACTGCGCTGCGAGCATTATGATGCGGAAGCGAATATCTTTTATTTGAATCTGGTTCGGCTGTAGTATTAACGGTACAGAAATGACGACATATTTGGGCGATTATTCGCCATTGAATAACGGGGGTACCGCCAGAAACCACCATACCGGCGACGATTTGCGGTATTTCAGAGTAATTGAATCTGTCGCGTAAATTCGACCCGACATTTATCTCGCGACATTTCTCACGGACACGCGATTTATCGGGTGCGAACGGGTACGATGGCGAGCCTTCAAAGATTCATGCCGTTCAATAAATCGCTTGTCACGGAGAAATGTCGCGCAACAAATGTCAAGAGTGAATCGACATCGGGGAATGCGCTTGCTCTACAGAGACGTTAGGTACTCGACCGAACAGCAAATTGTCATATTACAATGGAAAACCTAGACTAATTTGCATTTGATTCGAAGGATACGTGCTTGGCGAAAGTCAGAGCAAGACTGAAGAGTTCTTTTAATTGAAATAAAAATTAGAAAACAATTTTATAAATATATATACGTGAAATTGATTGATAATATACAGATATGGATCATTTGAAATTTTAATGATTATTCATCAGTGTGTATTTTGAACGATCGAGATCATTCCTGTGGATCGTTTCAGGATTGTATCTCGCAACGAGATGGTTGCTTTTGCACGCAATCTTTCTACAAATATGCATTGCTCGCGTTACTTTGCGGGGCGGACGCACTCGTCATGGAAAAATCGCTGCTCCCCCTTTCGTCTTCCTTCCTCGTATCTTGCTTTCGACATAAGATCGTCGATGAATACCGCGCGCAAAACAAAATCGGCACCCCGATACCGGTATTCGCGGTCGGGAAATCAAGATATGCAGGTTCCTACACGAACATGGTTAGGAGGGGATTGACTTCTCTCTTTTCCTCTCTGTTTCTCTCTCTTTTTCTTTCTTCTCTCTCTCTCTCTCTCTCTCTCTCTCTCTCTTTCTCTCTCATTTTTACATTCACACAATGCACGCATACATGCACACACTTCTTTCTTCCTCTGTCTCTCTCTCTCTCTCTCTCTCTCTCTCTCTCTCTCTCTCTCTCTCTCTCTCCTTCTCTCTCGTTTTCTTTCACTCACACTCTTATTCTTTTTCTCTCTTCATCTTGCTTTCTATCTCTTCCTCTCCGCGACGTACGAGCATCTCAATGGCACGATCTCGCCCTTCGTTGGAAACGACGCATTCGACGGTGCCATTCGTCGCGCCACTCGATGACGATCGACCTCTGTGTCACTGTGAGTCCACCTTGACCACCGCCGTCACTCTCTTGGCCAAGGATCAAGTACGATCTGTGAATATAATAAAATTGTATGAGTATAGTCTCAGTCGTTTTGTCCAGTCGTCAGCTATTACCGGCTATCACAATTTCTGACAGACAGTCCATGGACGTTACAATTTGTTTACATATTATCAGCTGTTCCATTAGAAACCTTGATCGTTTAATCTCTAAATGAAGAGAAGTAAAAAATTAAATGGCTACGAGATATGAAGAACACAAAAAATTAGGAGCTTTATGTAGTTATTAATGTCTTTTGAATGTTCATTGTCCAAACAATAACGAAATTAATTAATAATAATAGTAATAAAATAATATAATACTTGTGATTCACAAGAAGCAAATTTAGATTTACAAGAATTTAGATTTTTATAAAAATCTGTTCCACTTTACTTTTATTTTGAGAGGAATTTTGTGTGCGCATCTGGAAAAATATATCTCTAAAAATTCGCTTATAAAAAATCTGCAGTATTATTTAAATTTGTCCACATATAAATGTAGTACACACTTTTTTACTTTTTTAAAGATAGGCAATTTAAAATTATTAAATTTTTTAATGATAAATAAGTGTTCATACAAAAATGAAAGAATTTCGATTCAGCATTCAATTCTTTGATAAAGCTATAATACTTACTTATTAGGCTTGATTTTCGGGCATCTGCAAGCCAGATCAGCTGAATGAACGTAAAGGGATATGTCGCCACGTCGAAGCCTCGAGTTAGGATTTTTCTTGTAGATGAAATCGACGTTTAGAGTGAATCGGATCCAGGATGTGCCTGATACGCTTGTGCCGGTCTGCGAGCTGTCGCTTTTCTTGTGTCTGTCCGTTATTCTGCCCAGAATAGCTACGTTGAAAAAGAACATATTGAGCATTACATTTCAAGCATACA